TCGACCACCGGAATCATAGTCTTATTTGTCTGAGCTTTCGAAATTTTGCGGCAGTCCATCTTCAAAGATAAAATCGGCAACGAAAGCAAGCAACATTTATAGGGGGAGGGGGCCACTTAACCGTCATAAGGGCAAGGGGTGGGGAAAAAGGATAAATTAAACACCAGTGCCGTGGGTCTGAAGATATCTACGTAGGCCAACATATGCGGGCGCAAGCTCGATGCATCGGATAACTGGGTTATCATCGGACGCCCAGGTTTCAATCAGTTATTGGCCCGTCTTGCTGCTGGCGTGGGCAATTATCCCCGCAGCTGCGAAGTTGAAATCGTGACTCGTCTCGTAAGTGTGGGCCGCAACTTGCGATAATGCGTCACCCCGTCAAACAGCCAGCTTATGCTCGCGTATGTGGGAACCCAGCATGCGTCTAGTCTATCCCGTGTAATTTATCGGACAATTTAGACATAGTATGCGATACACTGCATCCGACTGCTCACTGGGATTTAATCAACCCTTTATTCGCATAATTTGGCTGCGCATGGTAGCCTTGGGACGGTGTGCGATTCCGACGCCTAGTCCCGCGGCAATGCACTCGGTCGTCTCCGATACGGCAGCACATGTCCAATCGTAGGGGCGAGCACGTAGCAATCGGCTTATGAAGGCCTTAGGCTAGCCAGTTAGCATAAACTGGTCGCGCAGATGTCAGGTTTCGTGTGCTTTCCCTTCCGGGTTACTGCAGTGAGTCTGGATTCTTTTGAACATCGTTCTCACGCAGCATCGTTTGTGAGCCACCGGATGATTGCTGTGAGATCTGATAACCTGTGTGGTGTTCGTCGCCTTCCTGTAGACCTCCGTTTCCATGTTGCCGTCGGGAGTTCGCATGACGAATACCTCGAGGAAGGGCAGCTGCTGATCCTTTACTTCTTCCCTTCAGAATTCTATATCTGGGATCATCGAGTTGAAGGGACCACGGAAAATCTGCAGCGTGTTTCTTCTGACGATAACGAACGTGTCGTCAACGTAACGACGACAAAAGATCAAGGGCTGTAAGGTAGGGCATATGTTGTCCGTTATTGCCTCCCCAAGTTGGGACCCGCTGTCATATTTGCACGTGCGTTTTCGATTTTCGTTTCCTATACTCATCGCTTCCTTTTTTTGAGGATCCCCGACATGTTTGTTGTCGTGGCGAAGAAGGGATGCTGACGGTTTTACTCGAAAGAAGTCAACGTCTTGACAACTTCGACAGTTGCTTATTCAAACAGCCTGTGTCAGATACATGCTTTTTTTCAATTCATTTCATGTTTGTTTCTTAAACCGTTTTAGAAATTAAGACATCGAATATAAATTAAAATTTCCTGCACTTTTGGATTAATTCCTCTTAGTCAGAAAATAGTTTAATGCAATTAGGAATAATTCTTGTGAGTTTAGAGGTAAACAGCTCTTGGAACATAACCACGGCACTAAAATTCTTTCAAGCAGAAATTTGCATTCTCGTCGAAAAGCATAATAATTCAAAGTTGAAATAAAAACTTGTATCAAAATCCCCTATGCGACATGGAGAATGAATTCCTTTCAAAAAAGTTAACATCCTGTTCAAAAGCGCAGACATTTCACCAATATATTCATGAGACAATCTTCGCACATACATTGACGTGATAAGCTTAATTGTCTGTATATTAGTGGTAATTCATCGCTGTTAAGACAGGTGGGGACAGCTGAATTCATTGGGATTCAACCGAATGGAGGCGGGGAACATGACACTGTTTATGCATTACATGGTAGATTTAGAGAAAAAATCTCACACTATGGATATCTATTGCCTAGAAAGTTATAAGTTCGACGAATAATCGCTCATGTTGACGTTTATACGTGAAGTTTTTGACTAAGAACATGCAGTGCTCAAAGGAGGATTGAGACCGCCAAATAAGGAAAAATTCGCTTACAATGTCTAGATTGTCCAATCATTTACAGGGGACAGACTAGACGCATGCTGGGTTTGCGCATGCGTGAAATTAATTGGTTGTTCGATGGGGTGACGCACACCTACGAGACGGGACAAGAGCTCAACTTCGCAGCTGCAAGGATAATTGCGCATGCTGGGAGCAAGACGTGCCGAGAACTGATTGGAGCCTGGGCGTCAGATGACAACTCACTTAACCGATTTATTGACCTGGTGCTGGCATATGTTGCCCTGCGCAGGTATCTCCAGACTCACGGCACTGGCGGTTGATTTGTCCTATACCCCCATGCCCCCGTGACGGTTAATTGGCCCCT